AAGAGAACTAAAGCAAGGGACGCTTTAGGTGCAACGTCTCTGGCAAGTGGTGGAGGGTTATATGTTCGTGTTGTTTCATCCATGTTGTATAAGCGTAACCCATGTTTAGGTTAAAAGTGAATAGTTCGATGGGGGTGTGTTTTGTCCATCTGACTGGCTAATCGAATTTTACTGTAAAATACACTCTTAAGAGTCGTCTTGTTCTGGGGAGGTAAGTCAAAAAGTCAGGTTGAATTCACAATAGACGAATGACTTTAACTCAAATATCACACACATACAGGCGTAGAACCAAGGTCACCCCGTTATAAAATCTTGTTAGCCTGATCAAATTTATTGAATATTTTCCGCCATAAATCATAAATGAATGCACATAACCATTCAAATGAGAGAACGCTGATTACAAGTGTCTAAGTTTGGTAACGTTAAATATTAAAGTAATATATATAAGCTTCTAATGGCAATTTTTACGTTTTGACAGCCATAGACTAACTCGATCGAGATCATAACAGTATGTAGAAATACGAAAATTAGGTTAGCCTAAATACCTTTTGGTAAGAAGATCGTAATTCGGCATTCTAATATTATGAACATCAACCTGAAGCAAAATCAGGTAAGGAAATTAATTTAACAAAACGAAGAAGAAATGCAACTCTTATCCAGTGACGAACGGATGCCAGCATTTTATTGATTACGTGCGAAAGGATTAGTTCATAAATGGCTGGTGGAGAAAACGAAACTTTAGATAAATAAACAGTAATAGTAGCCCATATGAAGAAAATCGTTCAAGTGGCGGAGCGAATGTGAAATCACGAGAACACAAAGACTCAAGAAAGATCTTCGCTAGCTGTCAAATACGCTGAAAAACCTCATAACCCCACATCTGCCAACATTTATTATATTATATATTATATTATATTATATATTATAGTCAAAAGGCAAATCAAAATTTTATCTAGACAAAAAAGTTAATACTATAATAGCTATAATACTCTTTTGCATCACTTAATTTAAAGATCAAATCTTTCACTCAAATTTTGAGTGACAAACTTTATCAGCCAGACCATTTTATTTTACATTATAAGTTATCCCATATGCTGCTGATGAATTAATGATATGAATATCTTAACAAGTTGAAACTGAAAGAAATTAGGATACGGAGAGAAGTAACCCCTCCTCCCCCCAAAAAATATAGGAATTTTTACGGATAGAAGAGCTGGCGTTCTGGACTTCGCAGGCAGCTGGGATTGTATCGAGCCATGGTGCAGCTGGATATTGCGGCGACAATTGATTGGCTGATGAGCAGACGTCATCTTTAAGAGGAGTGAGAGTTGTGGATACAGGCCCGCATAGGTCGCGAGTAAGTGTGGAAGAATCGGTACTAAGGTTCCTATCCTGGTCCGTGGATTTTAATGTTGTTGGTTCTATCGATGGTTGTAATGAGGGTAGGGCCACTGATGGACATGACAGCACCGGAACTTCCGACAGCTCTGAATTTGCTGCATCCATTATGCTAGACGATTGGTCATGGAGACCTTTGCATCCTTGTACAGATGGAAGAGACTTAGGCCAAATGGGTAGATGGTCAACCGAGCCATCCAAATCACAGTTGATGTTACTAGAGGGGAAACCAGAAGATAAGGGAGAAGTCAAATAAACAAAGTCACATCTTTACAAGATAGTAAAAGTATAAAAATCTTGATTTTTATGTATAGCAATACTATGCCAAGTTAAAAATAAAAACTGGTAATATGGAGTAGCTGCCAAAAAATAATGAGCTGAGATATATAGTTAGCTTTCAAGACTCCTATTTCAACAAGTATATACAATTAAGCAATTAGCACCTCTTGCCAAC